GACACACACACACACACAAACACCCATATTGATGAATTGTTACACGTATTTTTCGTATTGTTGCAACAATGAAAGATCGTATTGTGAGGCTGTACATTTATATCAACATTAAATATGTAAGCATTGTATACAATGTTCTATGGTTTGTACACTTGTATATATATATATATATATATATATATAATAAACCTAATAAAGAATAATATGTGAATGTAACAAATGTATGCAAGAATACATAGGATATGATTAAAACCCTCGTAATAAAAACACAACCGAAAACCCCGTCAATGGCCCGTAGATGTTAGCACGGTGTTTTTTTAAATTTACTTGACATTAATTCCAGAAGATTTAAAAGCAATTCCGCTGGAAACTTATTTTATGTTAATTTTGAAGTTGCAATTAAAAGTAATTTGATTAATGAATGCTAATGAAATATGACTTATTTTATGTTAATTTTAAAATTGTTAAAGAAATTTGATTAATGAATGTTAATGAAATGTGAGACCTTATTTTTTGTGGTTTTGCCGTCAGGGCCTTCGTATTTGTCCCCTTTGATCAGAAATGACCTTAAAATTTTGTGATTTCTTCCATCCCAAACGAAGTCAAGAGTTAATAAGAACCCTCTGACGTACTTCATATCCGCTGTTTAGAATAAATAAGTTTCTTTTTTTTTGAAAAAATATTCAAAAAAAAGTAATTTCACTGGAATTAATTTTAAAAAGTTAAATCATTTTAAAATATAATATTATTATTTAATAGAATTAATAAAAATAATATATAGCTTCATGTATATTTACATTGTATCTAAAGCTGAATAATACTAACAAGCCAACAATAATGAAAAAAATTATTCTTGGTTAATATATTTTTTCAATTTTGTAAAAAAGTTAAAGGTTACTCTCTTTCTTTTGCGCTTGCTTCAGAGGTTTCAACGACAAACACACACAGCGTATATGAAAACTCGTGAAAACCACGCATCATACACATTGCATATGATAGGCTGGGACCACTTTGTATTCGAACCCGGTCACTGCAGCAGCAAGACCAGGCGCCTTTAACCATTGAGCCATTATTGTAAATAAAAAATAAATATATAAAATTAAATTTTAGCAGAATTGAAACCAAAAACAATGCTTGTGCGTGATGTAGGTCATGTGTGCTGCTAAGAAAGAGATAACATAAGTTTGTAGAACGCATGCCGACAATAACATTTCAAGATAAAACACTTTGCTGTAAATAAATCATCTTGATCTCAAAAACATAACCTTCACAGATAAAACACTTTTGATAAATGTTCTAAAGTCTGTTTTTAGCATGAAGAAATAGAAAATTAGTGACAAAATTCCAATTTCAAGGTTAGAAAACAAAAGAAGCAAGTAAGACTAAATATTACATTTAAAAAAAAACAAATAACTGGAGTTTACATACATACGTAAAAGAAAAAGTTGTTACAGATGGTTTAATTTGTAATAGCATGAGAGACCTCCTACCTGTCGAGATATCCCATTCGAGCTCCAACATCAACTCGTCATTCAGACTCTTCCTGTCTATTTTCATCGTGGGTTCAACTTTACGTGCAAGTGATGACGACGACGATGGTGAAAAAGATGATGGTGATGGTTTCAAGAAAGACGACGACAACGACGGTGGTGGAAAAGTTGATGAGTCTATCAAATAAAGTAAAGAAGATGAAAATTACCATAAATATCTACTGGTACCTTTTCAATCAAACTGAATTGAACGTAACAAACTCAATCAGCTATTCATCAATTTCTCAATAATGATAAACAAAATGAATGTACAATCATTTGCATATACACAAACGTAGTGCATTCATATGCGCGCGCACAAACTTGCATATGGGTGTACCTGTACATACTCAAACAAGGATCACTGTACGTGATACAATCTCGCACGACAAAAATATTATTACACGTATGTAAAAAACGCATAAACAAAAAAATTTAAATCCAAAAAGTTCCAACTTGAAAAGTAATTTCCTTTGATGAAAAGGCAATCGGATGGTGTTTCCTGCGGTAAAATGGGACTAATGTTATTTTGAAATGTAATAAAGAACTGAGAATTTTAAAAATTGTAAACACTCATTATGGATGCATAATTGAATTATTGAGTCTGATATTGTTGTAGAATTTAAAATTAAACTTTATAAGTAGATGCCTGGTAATAAGGAATTTATTTTTGATCATAACATGAACATAAAAGGTTAATTTTATTTTATTTTGTTATATTTCTGTTACATTTATAGTCAGAATTTTTTTTAGTTGAAAGTGGCCTATCCACAAGTTTATCATTTTTGGTCATTTTCCAAAAAAAAAGTTTATGTTTTCAGATACGTGCATATTGACTTAGTGTTTGATCCCATTATAAAATATTATTTTGGTTATTGTTATTATAACCACTGCCGACAAAACAACATAAAATAACGTAACATAAAATAACATAACATAATACAACATAACATAATACAACGTAACATAACAACGTGGCATAACGTAACGATATAGAACACCAAAAAAAATAAAATTGCGTAAAATGTCGTCATCAACTAATCAAAAAAAAAAAAAAAAAAAAAAACCAGGGTACTGGAACACTGCAGGAAGGATTTCTCGTAGTCCTGACAACATATTTGACTCAACTTCACACAAGGACTCGCCCTGTGGATGATGTAGAGTAGGAAAATCAGCGTCAAGTGCCTCATAGCTGTAGTATTTTTACTTCAATCAAATGAAGTAGCTCTTATTACAATGGGTGAATATGTTTAAAACTATCAAAATTATTAATTCAAACTTCACATTATGACACTAAACTGAATAATAATAATACACTTTTTTTATTAATTTAATATAATTTTTAAAAAATTGGAAAAAAATTAGGTATCTCGTTAAAACTATCTCGTCAACAACTACATATAAGGAATTAGCAACAAACAGCACGATTTCGAATATTAAAGTATTTATTACAAATGTGCGTTGTTGTGCTAGTAAAAGTGTTAAAGTCGTAACAGCAGTGTACAAAATCTCAAGTACAAAATACGACATTAATTACATTACGAATAAGAATTTGGTTGGTTGAATGTTTTGTTATTCATTGTGTCTTTATATAAATAGATATATGTGCTCGAGACATATAAGTGTATCTCTATAGGCAAATGTGATATATGTATATATATATATACATTACCTATTTTATGTTTATTATATATTGATAAATGTATATTATACATGGGGCATAAAGTATACACAAACACAATAAATAAATATTTTTTTTTAATTTTGTAAATTAAAATAAATTAATATTATTTAAACAAAAAGTCAATTTTTAAGAAATGAAACGTAGTTGAATTAACAAATAGTCATTTTATTACTGGTTTCGATTACACTTGTAAAAAATTTAAGCAAATTATAAAGTTAATAATAACAATGTAACATCGTTGTAAAGTTTTAACAGTGCGATGATATTCCTTTGGGATGATGTAAGAACGCCCCATAAATTTCCTTAATTCTCCATTAACTGAAACCATCTGAAATTCAAACTTTGTAAATAAATTTTCACCCACCGTCTGTTCTGTAAATCACCGCTTACCCGACAAACACACACACACACCACACACACACACACACACACAAATACCTGAAATAACTTACGATTAATATTATTAATATAACAAAACGTTAATGTGAGTCAAACGAAAAAATTTTTTTTTCATTCATTTCACATTTCGAACACGCTCGAGTAATTACATCAGTGAGGTAGTTTGCAACTGACTAGCAGAAATTCTCAACGTTTAATTCTTAACGACTGTTGTGAAATATTTTACAAATAATTTAGCTTTTATTGCAACATCATATCAAGTATGTAGTTACAACAGCAGTTCTGTTTATTACGGTTTAATTGTTTTGTAGATTTGCATCAGCCGATAGATTTCGTGGAACATATTGAAAGACAGAACACCAGATCAAATTAATTTATTACATTTTAATCAGAACTCCAAATCAAATGAAACACATTAAGGCCTAGAATTAAAAACTAAATAAATTTATTTCATATTAAATAATTGCCTAAACCGTTTAAACAAGAAACACAAACAGACATATTTTATACATAGTAGTAATTATAATAATAACAGTAATAATGTTATTTGTGCTGCGCACTAAGCGTAGTTTCAGAGGCGCATTCTACATATCTTAGTTCGTTTTTTTTCACTGAGCCTAGATCGAAACCTGACCTCTCACTAACACTACTGCCCAATTTATTTGTTACCATCAATGGAACTATTATAGGTCGATAGCAGACACCCTGTATTGTACGGTTGGTAGGGCGAACCTTCCTTCGACTGAGGTTTATCTTAAATCTATGAGGTTTAAACGTTTTATACATATTTTCGTCAACTCGGTTACCGTACATACTGTTATCATCAGCAAATTCGTTCACTAAATCACTTGGGAAGATGTTTCTTTCATCTAATTTAGATTTTATGGACTCAAGATCACATTTTAACAGTGTTATCGACATTGAATGTGGCATATTTCCGAGCTTCCAGGCTTTTAACAACCTTGCAGCAACTTCTATGGTCCCGTCGTTACGCTCCATTTCAATGATGTGCAAGACAGATGTAAAATATTCAAATTCTATCTTCACCATATTTTCTAAAACATACACGTAAATATTTCCATGCTCGGAAAAGTCCGCACTTGGAAGTTCATACTGATATCTGCATAAAGGACATTTTAATATTTCCCCGTTCATTTGGTATAACACCTTCAGACAGGAAAGATGGCATTGATGCTGACAATGATTGAGGTAAACGACAACATCTTGAGGAGCAACCAATGCCTGCAAACAGATCGGGCAATCAACTTCTCGAACACTCCCAGCTTTAAGGATCACATCGTGCCTTAACATATTCGTCCAGCTGGTTATAGATTTACTTGGTTTTAAAACGCATAGTTTCAAAATGTTTTTATTTGCTCCTTCCATTTTATCTTCAAAAGTATTCGAAGACGATCTGATTTACAACTGCCAATGCACCTTATTACATAGCCAAAGGGGACCAAAAAATAATAATTTTTACGACATGATTGCAGATGGTGGATTGTAAAAAATGTGTCCATATCAGCTAAGTAAACTTTTAAATGTTTATGATGCAGTTGTAAAATCATACGACCATCTTGTAAAACAGCTTACTATTTTTTATGCATCTAATAATAAAGTTATTAAAAGTAAATTTAAAAAATTTTTAGAGTAAAAGTTATTAAATTGTAAATAAATATAAAATATAGGAAAGGGAGCAAACTAAGAATGCTCAACCACTTAACAAAAATATAAAATATCGAGTTGCAATTGCAGGCATTTACCAGCAATAAAACGTGATTTAAATGCATACAACGACAACATGTAAAGTGTACCATTATATAGATAGATGTCTATGCCCTTTATAACGATAACACACTCTAACTCAATAGGGGTTAAGTGGTTGAGGGAGCATCTTAGTTTGCTAACTATATTTTATATTTATTTAAAATGTTTTATTGTCAAAACATATAAGGCTTGTTTCATATACTTATATTGTTTTTTCATATACATTTATACACGTATACATGAAATAACAAACAAATTCAATAATATTCCTTACAAAATGTGATTAGATGTCAAGCTAGGTTGAATGTATATAAGTTCACAATGAAGCTCATCTAGCAATGACATTTTTGCCAAAGTTTAATATTCAATTATCATTTACTGTTAACAACCTTAGAGATAATAGTTGATATATATTATGTGATTTGATCATAGATTACAAAAAAAAAAATTTTTTTGTATCACGTAAATTGATTTTAGAAGCGTTGTTTCTGTGTATTTGTTAATTTTTGATAAATTTTGATATCAGTGTAGTGTCCTGTAGAGTATCATTCTTAATTTTCTCTTCCGTCGAATAACTCGAACGCCATGTGTATAAAAAAAAGAGCACACAAGTGCATATATCAGCATATTATTATGCAACACATACACATTGCAACACTTATAACACGACATCAACATAACATGCGGCGCATGTACTAGTACCTACATATATATATTACACATGTGTCGTCTCATTCTCTTCCATGGCTTAGTTAGTAGTACAATGCTGTTTTATCGGTGATATTTTATTTTTTGTACGGTTGCAAATTTATTTTACAACAATAAAGAATTCTGAAATTAATAAGTTCAAAATTATCATGTTTATAATGTTATAGCGGAATTAAAAAATTGGTTATTACATATTTCCTATTTTTAGTTTTACTAGAAAAATGCTGCAAAAATGAGGTATTTAGTGTTAATTATCTTACTACACGTAACCGAAAAAGCGAGTCCTTGTAGCAAGTTGAGTGCGGAATGTTGCCAGGATTTCGAGAGATCCTTCCAGCAGTGCATCAGCACTCTGGTTCGTTGATTAATAATTGCTGATGTTGTGTTTTTGTGGTGTTTTTCTTTTGCTATGTTCTGTTTTGTTATGTTTTGTTGTGTTTTGTTGTGTTCTCTACTCATTTCCCCGTTGTTTTTCAATAGTCATTTTAGGCTTAATATAATGTAACGATTGGAAAAAGTTTTCAAATGAAATTGTCTCGAAGGTCTGTTGGTTTTCATTGTAGCGTTTAGGTACATATTTCAAGTTATGAATTATATCATTTGCACTATTATAATTTAATTTGATTTTTTAATATTTACGACTAACAACAATTTATTGGCATAGCGTTCTCCGGATGACTGTCTCTTCATCAGCGGAAATTATTTCTCTAGTTAGGATTTTTTTTAAATTATGAATTTTCACGTTAACATGTTTGCTTGTTTGTTAATTTATATATGTGTTGATATATCTTAGTGCGCCTGTATGTTTATGTTGGTGTGTGTATGGGTCTTTTTTGCGTGTGTTTGTATATTTGTGTATGGTAGTTCAATTACTGTGGTTCAGCATTTATGATTCGCTTCATTTCAGTGAAATGTTGTTCATTTATGTTGACAGTAAACTTGTACAAAAAATTATTGTACACTTCTTTTGACAGATTCATCAACTACTACATCGAACTCATCTTCTTTTCCTTTATCTCCATCATTTTCCTCATCGTCGCCATCACTTGGAAAAAAAGTTGAACCCAAGTTGAAGATGGAGTTAAGGAGCCTCAACGACGAGTTGATGTTGGGTCTGCAGTGGGTTGTACCAACAGGTCTCTGATGATATTTTACTATCTTTGTATCGAAAATTGAATTAAAACACAAATTTTTGTTTTTCACGTTACGTGCGACTGAGATCGCCCCACTGTAAGGTTGGTCTTGGTAATCTTCCTGATGTAAACCTTACTCAAAAGCAAAAGCAAGCTATCGTTTTATACTCATTATATTTTATAGAATCAATTGATATTAAGACGCAAACGCTTTTATGTCAACGTAAAGCTAAAGTTTAGGTGCTATATTTCAATTCCTATACTACAAATTTTGGGGTTAATTTAAAGAAATTACATCTTTACAATAGCAATCTTTACAATTTTTTGTCTTGTTTAATTCGTTTTGTTGTAAAAATTGAAAAAATGTTTTCTTTTCAAAAAGTTGATCTGAAATACGTCAGGGGTTTCTTATTAACTCTGGAATTCACTTGGCACGGGAAGGATAAAAAAATGTTGAGGTCATTTCTGATCAAAAGGGACAAATATGCGGCACTCGTCAACGAAACATCAAACGATGAGGTTTCATATTTCATTCACGTGAACAAATTTCAAATGTCAATTGCATTCACATGACTCTCTAAATGTTTTGACAAAGTTTTCTTTGGTAAATTTTTTAAATAACTAAAAATTGACACTGCAAACAATAATTTCATGTAAGGCACATTGCCAAAACTTCTGTTTTCGAATGTAATTACAGCAGTTCTACTCTTGTTCTGTGTACTGTGCGTAGGCAGAAGTAGTGCTAATATGTACAATGCTGTAATGTAGAGAAATGTTGCCTACATGAACATATGCGTTGACTAGTATTATATTCAAACAGTTCATTCAATAGAAATGCACGTGCATGTGCGTGCTAATCTGTGTTAAAGTTCATTACAGATTATATATGTAATTTTTAGATGTTATTCATTGCTCAACTTCTTAACAATGAAAAAGACTCGTTTCGACAACATGGCCCAAACAATGGTAACAATACAAGCCCAGCATTGTAATGATAGCGTTAACTGCTGCTCTGTTAACACAACGGAAATACAACCCCACAACACAACTACTACTACTTCTCACGCTGTCGCTACTATTACTACTGATGCTGCTACTACTACCGCAAATACTGATAATTATGCTACTTCTATTACTACTACTACTACTACAATTCAAAAATTGTCATCATCTTCTTAGCGATCATCATCATAGTCATCGCCACAATCACCACTGCTTTTTTTTTACCAAATCACTGTCATCATTATCCCAATCACTACAATTATCATAGTCCTCCTCACAATCAAAATTACTTTCATGAATTTATTATTATTCTTCTATATTATTATTTATATTATTAATTAAAATATAATTACATACGTCATGAACAGGTGACTATTAAACACGACTGCATCACATTGTTTCCTAATGTCCTATATACACTGACGTTGACAACTTTTACATCATCATCACTATCACCACAATTGTCGTCATCGTTACCACCATCATCATCGTCTTCATCTTCATCATCATCATCATCATTGCTCTGGCACTCTTCAACAGTATCGGCTCAATTTTACACTCCAGCTAGCAATAGAGAAATTAACGAGGGCCACGAAGGTGATAATTATATTAACATAAATTAACATAATTATTAATAATACTATTTTAATTATGTTTAATTATGTATCATTAATTATAATTATTATTATCGCTATTCAAATAAATTAACTGGATATCATAATTGAAAATGCATACAAAGCAATTTCATGTGAGTGTACGTCTGAATGCATGGAGAGATAAAAATAAAATTTAAAAATGAATTAAGTATTAAAACGGAAATTTGGATAGGAATTAATACAAAAAACAAATGAATAATAAAATGGGTGAATGGATGAATGAATGAATAAAGTTAAATTTACGAACGAACGAGTGAGCAAAAACATGAATTTGTTGGCAGCTAGAGCGAGCGGGGAATGGACGGCAACGTTGAAATTGAGAATTTTCTTCGGCACGGCATCGAGCATGATGGCCTGCTTCCACGTGGCCCCCGCTAAATTTTTATTCTACAGTTACTACCTGTACCTTAGTCGAGGCCTTGAGCACCCGAACATAAATGAACACACACACAACATCACTGTCGACCCAGCAGTCAGTTTTCTTATTTATCTACCCTCCCTTCTTTATTGAATGGCTTTCATCTGTCTGTGTTTTGTACTAAATTAAATTTTTAATGTTTTTTATGATCAGAAAAACGCCGGTGAGCAGAGATGCGTAATGTTCAGGAACATTGAGGATGGAGTTTATTACATCTTCGTTAGTCGACATTAGTAACGTGGTTTCTGAAACTTGCATGGCATCAATATTTGTTCTCAATAAAATCGCATTGAAAGTTCAAAAAATTATGCATTCAATAAATTACTCAACCAGCTAAGACCATCATCAGTTCATGACTGCAAATGCAAGGACCTCAAAACAGGCTTTGACACTAAACTCAACTGTGTGGATTACTGTCTGGTCACTAAAGTTGGACCCATTGCGGTTAAATATGGTGAGAATGATGACGATAAAAATGATGTCGATATCTGTGATAAAAACGTTGTTGTTGATGATTTTGATAGTAATGTTAATATACGATATTAGTGAATTACATCATTCCACAACAAATAATAACAATTTCACAAACATGACGTCAACGAACGTAGGTGAAGCCATTCCAACTCTTGGAACCGAAATGGAATTCGACCACCTCAACTCCAAAACAACGGCAGCGATTATGACGACGACAGTAGCCACCAACAACAAGCACACACCACACACTGCTGATGGCTCACTGCTTCTAATTTTGCTCTACGTAATCGTCGTCATCGTTGCTGTCCTCGTCATCACCATCATGGTGACGTGTGTGTGCTGGATCAGAAGAAAGCGACAGACGGAGAAAAAACGAATTCTCAGATTCCAACAAACTCGAAAATTTAACCAGGAAACGATATTAATTTCTTCTTGAATGGTAGCAGCAGCATCCATAAAACGAAAAACTAATTCAAATTTAGATTTATTAAAAACTGACCTGAAAAATTTTTAAATTAAAAAATTGTCAAAAATGTATTTGTATTTTTTATTCCCTATTTTTAGAAAATTTTACTATGCCACTCTTATATAGGTGCGTTATAAATAACATGAAGGCAGTCAAGAAAGTAAATTTCATCGGAATCAACTCAAACGTAGAAATGAAAGTTGGTGTACTACACCGCGCTACGACATAGGCCTCAGACGCAGCATCAGTTAATAATTAATATAATTATTTTTAAAGAACAACAATGATGACATCCTAAATTATCAAAAGCATGTCACAGACAATATAAGGTATAATTCATTCAAATGAATAACATTTCTTAAATATAAAATGATAATTATATTATTTAGATACATAAAAGAACCATTAATGTAAAATTGTAGTTTAATACTTTTTATTAAACATATTAAACATATTTTAAGTATCTAAAGGTTGAATGATGATTTGATTACTAACATTTTAATACAAAAGAATAATTTCATAATAGCTTGCCTCTAAGGAAATAGTTATTTCCCAATTTCTCGGCTGTAACTACTGATCGTGCATCAACGCTCTTCTCCTTTATATACGTTAAAAAATTCATTGACACGTAAGTAGCGTCTATTACTTCATATAAATTGTTCTACATGAAATTAACTCAACCGAATAGAGTTTACATCATTCATACGTAATAACCATTGAAAAGAAAAATATATATTATAACTGGAGATTTCGTAGAATTAAATCTGAAGAGCACACACTTCGAATGAGTCAACCACCTTCGGTTTTTCAAACTGACTTACAGATACTTGACATTTAACAACTTTCTCAATATGTTTCTCAGCAACGTGTTTAACCTTTTCTTCAATATTCATTACAGTATCAGTTCCGAATTTTTTCGTACCCCTTTCTTCGTCGAAATTTTTTTCGACATTTCTACTCATTACTTCAACAGTCAGCATTTCAGAGAAACTTGTTGCTTTCTTCCTCAAAAAACAACTGCTGCCAGTTTTTTTGTTCACCGATTTCACACTTTTGAATCCTCCCAATAAAAATATTTTATCCTTCCAAACTGAGCCTTTCATGGCATATCGGGGAAAGGTTAAAGTAGCGGAGAGGACAACCCAGAGATCGTTGCATTCCTGGTACATCAAGATCCTGTCAGTAACTCCACCTTGGATCAATCCACCCGTCAACAACAACCTTCCACTAACTGCTGCCAACGTTGAATGACTTGTTGGAACGTTGAGGTCACTTAGTTTCAAAACTGAAGAGTTTTCAGCTGGCAACAAATGTTGCGAGGAGGATGTTGTCAATATGGGCACGTCCAAACATGTGGAAAACACCTGTCCTGGTCCAAAACTAACTTTGAAGTATTTATTTTCCAAATGTTTACTAACTTCAAACTGTTTTAACCGTTTACAAAAAAATGAAGCCAAACAAATTTTAAAAACATCGGCATGCAGTAGAATGTGAAGGTTGGTCGGGTGCATCAAGTTTCCTTCGTTGACGCTCAGTGCTTCGTCATCTCCGTGAACCAACGTTGCACCTCCAACGGCAAACAACTCGTCATTCCAAATTGAAAACGCAACACCAGCACGTGGCAACTTTACAGGCAGACTTTTTTCTTTCCAGGAATCTTCATCAGCATGATAGGACAACATCGTGAAAAGCTCTGAAGATTCGTAAGGAAAAGATTGTGAAGAATAACTATTCGCTGCCTTTTGTGCACTGCTATTCTTACAAAAATCTTCACTGCTTGCATCACTTCTGTCATTCCCAGTTACATCACTGCCAGCCTCACTTACGTCACAAACAGTGACGTCATTGCTAGCATCACTTCCGTTGTCAGTGACGCTAAGTGAATAGCTTCTCTCCAGAGATGAAACAACGCTAATATAGCTGATTTTTCGTGTCACGGGATTACCATTGCTCTTCTGGTTATCAATAACAATCGCGTCAGGCTTGTGTTTTATTACATTTTTCCCGGGAATAAAAGTTCCAGTTAAGTTTTTGTAATCAGCTTTACTGTTTTTCAGACGACTGCAGATTTCATCTTCTTCAAAATCGCCGTAGTTACCGTCATCCGGAGTTTGTAGATTGTGAAGTTGCTGCTGATTAAAACGACCACCTGAATGAAATAAAATGACGTTATTCTCGTAAACTCCTATCGTTGAGATTTCATTCCTCGTTGAAACTGGTTTTCCAGAAGTCCATCTGTTCTGCGAGAAATCATAAATATTTGTCGTGTAATGCTTACCCATCGCATCTGATTGTTTGTTGAGCACTTTGCCATTCCCGTAACCAACTTTGTAAGAAGTGCTGCATGCGTCATCGTAACTGTTGCAACGATTGTCGTTGTTGCTGTTATCAACATTTTCAACGCTTCCGTTCTTACTGTTATTGATGTTGCTGCTTGCTTCGCAACAAAAAAGGTAGAGTTTGTTAAAAATAGTTGCGCAACAGTAATGTTGAATTTTGTTAGAAAAGTTGGGATTGTCTGCAAGTTGCAACTCTTTCCAAGAGTTTGATTTGATGGTATAACTGTCGGCAATGTTGAGGGCATATATTTTGTTAGCTACGTTGTTGATTTCTTTGTGATTAGTTGCTGAATCACAGATTTTGATGTTGGGGTAGATTGTTTGTTGAATGGAGTTTGTTAATGTTGAAGACGTTTTTGATTTTGTTGCTGTTGTCGGAATGTTAATCAGGAGTAAGGAGGTGTTAGTTAGTGACGTCAGCGATTCTGCACTTCTATTTTTATATTTGTTGTTTTGGTTGCTGAGGAAGTTGATGCTGTCGTGATGATCATTTATATTGTCGTCGCAACTAGTGACGTTGATCCTAGAAGTGAAGTAATTATCGTCGTTGCTATTGTTGTTTAAACATCTTTGGCTGCCTTCAGTTGACGTTGAATAGTTATCAAATGTTTCATTTGAAGATGCCGTCACGTTCCTCAAATGTTTCCCACAAGGCTCTTCCACGAGAGGAATATCAAGTAACCAGCTGCCTGATTCAACGTCGTTGAAACAGAGCCGTGGAATGTAACCGGAGTAAAAACGTTTCGCCTCATTTTGTTGAGTTATTGAGTTGATTTCAGCTTGGTTTGTTAAATCTTTGACATTTTGTTGATTTTCAGTTGGTGCATGTGTAGTTGATGTTTGTGTGGTGAATGTTAGTGTGGTTGATGAACTTGGAAGTAACTTTTGTGATGTCGGTGATGAATGCGAAGATGACAACACCCACTGACTTGTTGGATCAGAAAATGAGAAAGATGAAAATGTAAATTGACGACTGAATTGTTGTTGGTTGTTGTTGTTTGCGTTGTTGTATGGTTTGAATGCTGTGTGTTTGTGCAGTTTTGGTGGTGTTGAGGTCAACGATGGCAATGAAATTTTGTTACCTTCCTCTTCCCGAGAGCCGCTGAGAGTCCCAGAACTCGTTTCAATCTTGCAACGACAGTGCGTTTTCGATATTTTTTCAATAAATTCTGAATTTTTTAATTTTTGAGACTCCACTCGTTGCTGCCAATTTTTTAGTTGAGGAAACGGCGAAGTTGTTTTAGAGAAAATATGTTCGGTCTGTTGTCCATTTTTTGGAAAAAAATAACCAGCTGGGGTATAATTTTGTTGAGAAATATTTTTACAAGGTGGAATTAGTTTAAATGTTTCAAGTGCAAGTGAAGGTTTAATGACGTGAATGTTTAATGGTCTCCTGAATTTGTTGCATATGTTGTTCGCTACAATGCTGTCGTTGTTTATCGGACTGTTGATTGTTTTGTTCGTCCTATTTGCAACTGTTGTTGTTGAATTTATGCAAATGCTTAGGTTGGTATTGTTGTTATTTATATTGTCAATGTTGTTGTGGTTGTTGCAGTTGTTGTTGCAGCAGTTGTTGCAGTTGTTGTTGTTGTTGCAGTTGTTGTTGCAGTTGTTGTTGTTGCAGTTGTTGTTGCTGTTGTTATTATTTAATGTTACCTTAGTATCATCTGCATTTTCCATTTTCTCATCTTCAACACAACAACTTCCTTTGTATCGGTGATAATATTGGTTGTAGTTATGAGGGAGATGATGAAGAAAAGGAGAAGGGAGATGATGATGGCGGTGAGGGGATGTCGGATAGGAGTAAGAATGACGAGGAATAAAGAAATATCCTTTTACGTCATCGTCGTCGTCATCGTCAAATTGAATGTCAGGATGAGTAAGAATGTTACAACACTGATCGTCAGCGTGATAACGATAACAACATTCCCTATTATTATCATTGCTTCTGTTATCATTACCATCAAAGTAATTGTCATCATTGTGGTCCTTGACGTCATCATCGTTGATGACGTCAGAACCGATAGTTGACGTCATTCTACAACCTGAGACACTCAACGATGACGTAGAAAAATCCGTTTGTTGCAGAAAATTGGCAATGTTAGCACGGCAAACATTTTCATTATTATTTAACGAAACTAATGTCGGTTGATGTAACGGTGAGTCACTCTTGCTCATTGCTGCTGTCGCTGATGTAGTTGCTTTTGCGGCAGTTAGTGTTGTTGCGACTGTTGCTGATGTTGATGTAACTGCTGTTATTAATGTTTTTGTTGTTGTTGCTAATGTTTTTGTTGATGAAGTTGTTGATGCTGTTACAGGACCTTCTTCCGAAGATTGCGACATTGCAACAGACGAACCATGAAATTTTCCACTGAAAGATTTTGTAGATGAAAATGTTGATAAAACCATGTCTTCACCAGCATTTTGTTGATTGTGTCGTTCTACATTGTTGAGATGAACATTCAACAACATTTCGTCAATTGTTGGAGGAGATGGGTAAATTGTTGATATAGATAGTGGCTGTGGACTGTAATGATATCGAGCGGATGTTTGCTGGTGACTGTTCACTTGTATTATTATCATCTCATCATTACTCTCACTTTTTTCGCTATCTCTTTCAATTTTTTCATTGAAATTGTAAGATTGACGTTGTCGTTGCAGCTGTTGAAATTGCTGCAAATGCGTCTGAAGTGGTAGTAGTGGTTGTTGTTGAGACTGTTGCGGTTGTTGTACTTGCTGGGGTTGTTGCAGTTGTAGTTGTTCTAGTTTTGGAAATTGATCTAATAATTTTGTCTGTTGTGCACCGGAACGTTGTGGTTGTGATTGAAGTTGTAATTGTGAATTTCGTTGTTGCGGTTGTTGCGGCTGTTGTGGTTGTTGTTGTTGCTGCACTTGCAATTCTCGTAATTCTTGTAGGTTTTGTTTTCTTGTTTCTTCTTGTTCAATTTGTATCGTTCCTAAATATTCAAAACAATTGCGCTCGTTGTGAACATGCTGAAAGTGTTGGCTGCTATCATTAGGTGGAGTTTTTATTTGAGGATCTTCATGCCTGTGGATTTCGGGAGATTTTTGAATATTATCTCTATCTGTCTGTCGCTGAAACTTATAAACACCACCAACATCATCTTCCAGTTGTTGTTGATGTTGTTGATGTTGTTGTAGTTTGCTTGTATTGTTGTTTGTTGAGCTGTCAAAATATTGTTTACGTAACTTATTTTGTTTTTCTATGAAGCTGGTTTTAAAGGAATTCAACAGATTTTTATTGCTGTTGTCATCATTACCCATGCCATTGTCGACATCATGAAGTTTATCATCGGTAACAACGTTGTAGTTGATGGTGTTAGTGTTGTTGTTGTTGTTCGTGTTGTTGTTGTTTGTGTTGTTGTTTGTTATTGTAAACATATTGTTGTTAATGTAGCTAAAATTAGTTGATGGCTCACACGATTCACTTTGTTGCAAACTCTCTTCAACCTGTTGCACAACTGCTGTTTGTTGGTCTGTGGTTTGTTGCATGTTGCAAAATGTTTGGAAAATATTTTGCATCAGTGAGTCGTCCACAGTTCGTTTGTTGTTTTGTTGGAGATGAGTCAAGTTGTTGAGGAATGTTCCTCCACGTTCGATGACTTCTTGATTGGAATGTTGTTCAATGTTTTTAATGAATTCATTCAAATGAATTTGCAAGCTGGAAAGATTTTGATGGCATTGATGATGCTGTTGGTCATGCTGTTGTTGTTGTTTCGGTTGTTGTTTTTGAATCTTTTGTTGTTGCTGCTGTTGTTGCTGCTGCTGTAGAAGCTGCAGAATTTGAACAATATGAAAAAACGAAATAAGTTTATTATCTCTAGTAGGTGGTGCATTAACAGGACGCTGTCGATTTGAAGTCGTGCTTGCCAGCAAAAGTCGGCATAGATTCGGCAAAGTTTGAATCTCCCTGAGAAGTTCTCTCATATCGATGGTTGGTGCAGTTCTCATCATTATCAGGATCAGTTTTATCATTATCATCAGTCAGCTTTTTCATCTTCTTCAGTATCATCATCATCATCATCATCCTTGTTCGTAAAACCAGAGTCATCATCACTACTCTTGCCAACATTTTCAAAACTTTTGTTATTTTTCTTTCCCTTTTCCTTCTCTTCTCCACCATTATCATCATCATTATCATCATCATCATTGATTTCATCATCATCACTTTCATCATCATCACCTTTATCATCATCATCATCATCATAATTTTTGGCGGCACAGTTGTTATTCAAATTACCGTCTCCGTTATTGTTAACATTTTTGTTTTTACCAATCTGATCATCATCATCTTCTTCATCATCATCGTCGTCATCATCATCGTCGTCATCTTTATTATTTATTCTGCCATTTCTTGTCACAGCCTTCGTTCTCATAACATCCATTCTATTATCACCATCATTATTACTATAGTCGTTCTCACCATCGTCATCATCATCGTCGTCATCATCATCATCATCATCATCATTATCATTGTTTGTCAAAGAGTTACATTGCTGTTGGCGGTGATGATGGTCATCCTTCTGATACCGAAAACAGTCTTTACCGTTTTCGTAATTATCAACATCACTATCATTATCATCATCATCACCATCATCATCATCATTTTTAACACCGTCATCCCTTGTGTCATCATCAAAATTGTTTTCATCATCATCATCATCGCCATGTGGTGGTCGGCGCTGATGGTTGTGTCGTCGTTGTTGTTGTGGTCGTTGTTGTTGCGTTAGTTGTTGTTGTTGTTGTGGTAGTTGTTGTTGTGGTAGGTGTAGTTGCTGTTTGGGTTGTTGTTTTTGTAACTGTGGTTGGCGTTGTTGTTGTTGTTGGTGTTGGCGTGGTTGATGGACTTCTTGATGTTTTAAGTTTTTCGGCACAAACCTTTTACTGCAACGTTTGCAAACCTTCAAGCAAGCCGGGGATGATGAAGCTTTTTCTTCCGAAATCTTGTCATCAAGTATCTTTTCATTATCTTCTGTTTCTTTTTCAGGCGCAAGTTTTGATGGTGTTGGCGATATTTTGGAGGGAGATGGTGGTGAAGATGACGAAGACGATGAGGATGTTGATCTAGATACAGCTTCTTCACCGTGAGATTGAAACCGCTGTTTCTTAAACCGTTGCATATCGCAGAGTAACGATTTTTGATGGTTTGACTTGTGGCGATCATCTGGTTGCTGCTGTCCGTTTTGAGTGGTGGTTTGTTGCTTTATTTGTTGTTGCTGGTCATGACGTTGTTGTTGTTGTTGCTGCTGCTGCTGTTGCTTTTCGTACAAATGTTGTTCGTACACTTTCTGAATTTGATGTTGCTGGTCTCGTCGTAGTGGGTTATAGTTGTGTGGGTTTTGTGAACACTCGTGAAAATTCACATTATTGTTGTTCAATACGTTATCGTTGCCTTGCAGTTCATGTTTCTCTTTTGGTCTTGGAGTATAAAGCTGTTGCAACATTCTTTGTTGACATTGCTGATATTGTTGATGCTGTTGAAGTAGCGGTCGTTGTTGTTGTTGATGATGTGGCCGCTGTAGTTGCTGCTGCTGCTGCAGATGATGTTGCTGATGACGTTGCGGTCTTTGCCGCACGGCTGAATGTTCAGCTGACTCACATGGAAAGAGTAGTTGGTCTATGCGATCAGGAGCGAGACCTTGTGATAGAAGTTTGTAATAAGCTCTCTCTTTTCTCATGGTTCTTTTGTTTATAGTTTTCGCTCTACTGCTAGTTTTATAGTTCAACTTACTACTTTGTTTTAAATTTTTTCGCGCGTTATTTGTAATGTTTTCATTTTGTTGGAGAGGATGGAACAATGTTTTCAATATGTGCCGAGGGCTCTCACTTGATTCATTTAACTTCTCAAGTTCCTGAATGCTAATAAGGGCGTAATCAATATCCTTGCTGGGCTGACCCTTTGCAGTTTTTGAAATCTTGCTGTCTGTCGGTGTGTTACTCTGAAACAAACTTGCAGTATCCGTTTCAAATTGGTGTGGTAAAAACTTCGAGTGATTGAGGCTTCTTTGTTGTGGTTGCTGTTGACGCTTCTGAGATGTTTTAAGATTTTGAAGGTGCTGCTTGAGAGATTGATTCGTTTGCTCAAGCTTTTGACGCTGCTGATTTCGTTGTTGTTGTCGTTGACGGTAATTTGGAAAAAGAGCAATTTTTTTATTTGCTGATGTTGTTTGTTCGGAATTTAACTTCAATGAAAGAAGTTGCTCAGCAAAACTTTGGTTAATGAAATTTTTTTGAACACAGCCTTGATGAGGAGATTGGTTGTCGGCAGTTGTGCTGTTCATTGTCGACGTTTCATCTCGCTCTTCAATTCGCGGATTGTTAAGCGTTCGTTGCGATAATGTGTGTTGCTGCTGCTGCTGCTGATGTTGTTGTTGTTGTTGATGCTGCTTTGAGGAGAGATCTGTTGCTAATTTTTCACTCGTCGTTTCAACAGTTTCATGCAACGTCTTCGTAACTTTTTGGTTGCGTGGTGTGAGTGGTGTGGGGGGTGGGGGAGGTGCCAAGCTGTCTGCCAGCCGCTTCAAGTTTAAAAATTTTTGACGCTGCGTTTGAAAATAATTTTTTTTCTGCAATGTCGAGAACTTTCGCTTCTCTGGAATGGATTGTTTTGAACGTGCTGTAACAAGATGTCGTTTCAGTGGCTGATGCACTAGATTAGCTGCTTGTTGATTCTTGCAGTGTGAATCAAGTTGTTGTTTTTGATGAATGAGTGGTTGCTGTTTGCGAAGTTGTGACTGTTCATGCTGCTGATGATCGTTTTCTGGTTTAGGATGCTGGGAAATTTTTATAAGATTAAGAAATGGCTCCATTTGTTGACGTTGCGATTGTCGTTGCTGATGTTGTGGTTGCTGATGTTGTGGTTGTTGTCGTTGAGGTTGTTGATGTTGTGGTTGCTGATTAGGCTGTTGTTTTTTTTGTTGTTGTGAATGTTGCGATTGTTGTTGAGGTTGCTGGTGTTGTGAATGCTGTTGTTGTTGCTTTTTCTGTTCCAGTAATAAAGAAGTGCCTGAGCCATAAAGTTGCTGCTGCTGGAGCTGCTTGCGCATTTGCTCTCTGTATCGCAGTTGGTGTTGTTCGTTGTGCTGCTTTTGATTTCGTAGCTGTTGTTGTTGTTGATGATGTTTTGTTTGTTGTTCTTTGTGCTGTTGTTGAGGTTGCTTTGAATTTTGCGGTTGCCTTTGTTGTTGATTCAGTTGTTGTTGGCTTTGCTGTTGACTGTGTTGTTGTTGTTTTTGTTGTGGTTGTTGATTTTTTTGACGTTGTTGAAACTGTTGTAACTTTGACTTGACGAGTGGGTGATTAATGAACAATGAGATGTCCTCATTCGTAAGACCTTTTCGAAGTAACTCTCGCAAAACACTTTTTTGTTGTGACTGACGTGACTGACGGGATGGATGTTTTTGTTGCATCTGACAAAGTTTCGGAGACTCAACTGATGACTGAGTGACAATAGAATTTATATCTAACAATGTTGAAGGGCAGCAATCGGCACTGTTGTCGCTGCAGTATCCGAAGCAGTGGTTAGGTAAGCTACACACGTCATCAGATGTCTGCTCAGAACTAAAATAGTGTTGGTCGTTTGTCGAATGCGCATTTCGCTTCTTCAACTTCATACGCTGCTGTGTTT